GAATTTTCCCATTCCCACCTTACCCTTTATTTTGGTTTTTTTGGTTTTTCCATTCACACCTTACCCTTTATTTTGATTTTTTTTGGTTTTCCCATGCACACCTTACCCTTTATTTCATTTTCCCGAATTTTCCCATTCCCACCTTACCCTTTATTTCAGTTGTCCCAAAAAATCCCAGAAAAATTCCAGAGGTTCCCAAAAAATTCCCAAAGGTTCTGAAAAAATCCCAGAGCTCCAGAGGATCCCAAAAAATCCCAGAGGGTCCCAAAAAATTCCAGAGGTTCCCAAAAAATCCCAGAGGGTCCCAAAAAATCCCAGAGCTCCCCAAAAAATTCCAGAGGTTCCCAAGAAGTTCACGTTCCTGCCCTCAAACCCAAACCCTTCGGAGCTGACGAGGTAAATTCCCAGAGGGTCTCAAAAAATCCCAGAGGTTCCCAAAAAATCCCAGAGCTCCAGAGGTTCCCAAAAAATCCCAGAGGTTCTCAAAAAATCCACAGCTCCAGAGGCTCCCAAAAAATCCCAGAGCTCCAGAGGCTCCCAAAAAATCCCAGAGCTCCCCAAAAAATCCCAGAGGTTCCCAAAAAATCCCAGAGGGTCCCAAAAAATCCCAGAGGGTCTCAAAAAATCCCAGAGGGTCCCAAAAAATCCACAGCTCCAGAGGCTCCCAAAAAAATCCCAGAGCTCCAGAGGGTCCCAAAAAATCCCAGAGGTTCCCAAAAAATCTGAGGGAACCTTGGGGACCTCCAGAGGTTCCCCAAAAATCCCAGAGGTTCCCAAAAAATCCCAGAGGTTCCCAAAAAATCCCAGAGGGTCCCAAAAATTCCCAGAGGTTCCCAAAAAATTCCAGAGGTTCCCAAAAAATCCACAGCTCCAGAGGGTCCCAAAAAATCCCAGAGGTTCCCAAAAAATCTCAGAGGCTCCCAAAAAATCCCAGAGGGTCCCAAAAAATCCCAGAGGGTCCCAAAAAATCCACAGCTCCAGAGGCTCCCAAAAAAACCCTTTTTAACCCTTTTTTAACCCTTTTTAACCCTTTTTAACCCTTTTTTAACCCTTTTTAACCCTTTTTAACCCTTTTTAACCCTTTTTTAACCCTTTTTTAACCCTTTTTAACCCATTTTAACCCATTTTAACCTTTTTTAACCCTTTTTTAACCCTTTTTAACATTTTTAACCCTTTTTTAACCCTTTCTAACCCTTTTTTAACCCTTTTTTACCCCCTTTTTAACCCTTTTTAACCCTTTTTAACCCTTTTTAACCCTTTTTAACCCTTTTTAAACCCTTTTTTAACCCTTTTTAACCCTTTTTAACCCTTTTTTTCCACAGGAAATTCCCACTTTCCCTTTTCCCACCGCTCATCGCGAGTTTCCCCTCCTGGGGGATTTTTTTTTCCCTGAACCCTCGAGTTTCCCCTCCTGGGGGATTTTTTTTTCCCTGAACCCTCAGCTCTGATTTTCCCAGATATTTTTTTTATTTTATGGGAATAAATCCCAGAGTCAACCCACAAATCCCAAATTTTTTTCCCGGGAAAAACTTGAATTACCCCCAGAAAAAAAAAAATAAATAAGATTTTTCCCTCTAAAAAATTGGGAATTCTCCTTTTAGCACGAGAAGATTTTTAATTCCATTAATTACCATTAATTCCAGATGTTTTCCCAGCCCTGACCACCAGATTGGATTTTAAGGATTTGGTTTTTCCGTGAAATCTGAGAGGATAAAAAAAAATGAGAATTATTTTTCCCAGCCTTAATTAATTGGGAATTAATCATTTTTTAACGAGGGGAATTTTTCTGCACATCCACTCCTCCTGATCAGGATCATCCAGATCTTTCCCCCAACTCATTCCTGATATCCACAAAACCCCAAATTCCTTCTTTTCCCTCTTTTTTTTTTTCCTTCCCAGCAATTGTTTTCCGTGGAAAAACTTCCCAAATACGCCCAGGCCGGGTTTGAGGGGTTCAAAACCCTCAACAGGATCCAGAGCAAACTGTTCCGAGCGGCGCTGGAATCGGATGAGAACCTGCTGCTCTGCGCTCCCACGGTGAGATTCCCAAAATTCCCGGAATTCCCGGAGTTCTGGGATGTTTTTGGGCTGTTGCAGGGCACGGAATGACCCTTTTCCCTAAGGAATTCCAGGATTTTGGGGCCGTTTCCGTGTTTTCCCTGCTGATTTTGTGGATTTTGGGGCCGTTTCGGGGTTTTCCCTGCGGATTTTGGGGCCGTTTTGGTGTTTTCCCTGTGGAATTTGTGGATTTTGGGGCCGTTTTGGTGTTTTCCCTGTGGAATTTGTGGATTTTGGGGCGGTTTTGGGGTTTTCCCTGCGGAATTTGTGGATTTTGGGGCCGTTTCCGTGTTTTCCCTGCGGATTTTGTGGATTTTGGGGCCGTTTCAGTGTTTTCCCTGGGGAATTTTGTGGATTTTGGGGCCATTTTGGGGTTTTCCCTGTGGATTTTGTGGATTTTGGGGCCGTTTCAGGGTTTTCCCTGCGGATTTTGTGGATTTTGGGGCCGTTTCGGTGTTTTCCCTGCTGATTTTGAGGATTTTGGGGCCGTTTCCGTGTTTTCCCTGCTGATTTTGTGGATTTTGGGGCCGTTTTGGGGTTTTCCCTGCGGATTTTGTGGATTTTGGGGCGGTTTTGGGGTTTTCCTTGGGGATTTTGTGGATTTTGGGGCCGTTTCCGTGTTTTCCCTGCGGATTTTGTGGATTTTGGGGCCGTTTCTGTGTTTTCCCTGGGGATTTTGTGGATTTTGGGGCCGTTTTGGGGTTTTCCCTGCGGATTTTGAGGATTTTGGGCCGTTTCGGGGTTTTCCCTGCGGATTTTGGGGATTTTGGGGCCGTTTCTGTGTTTTCCCTGGGGATTTTGTGGATTTTGGGGCTGTTTCGGGGTTTTCCCTGCGGATTTTGGGGCGGTTTCGGGGTTTTCCCTGCGGATTTTGTGGATTTTGGGGCCGTTTCCGTGTTTTCCCTGGGGATTTTGTGGATTTTGGGGCCGTTTCGGGGTTTTCCCTGCTGATTTTGTGGATTTTGGGGCCGTTTCTGTGTTTTCCCTGCTGATTTTGTGGATTTTGGGGCCGTTTCGGGGTTTTCCCTGGGGATTTTGTGGATTTTGGGGCCGTTTCCGTGTTTTCCCTGCTGATTTTGAGGATTTTGGGGCCGTTTCTGTGTTTTCCCTGGGGATTTTGTGGATTTGGGGCCGTTTCAGGGCGCGGGGAAGACGAACGTGGCGCTGCTGTGCATGCTGCGCGAGATCGGCAAGCACATCAACATGGACGGCACCATCAACGTGGACGACTTCAAGATCATCTACATCGCCCCCATGCGCTCCCTGGTGCAGGAGATGGTCGGCAGCTTCGGCAAGGTGCGGAGAGCCCGGGGGGATCCCGCGGGATCCCGGGGGTGGATCCCGGGGGATCTGTGGGGGTGGATCCCGGGGGAGCCCTGGGGGTGGATCCTGGGGGTGGGTCCCGCAGGATCCTGGGGGCTGGATCCTGGGGGGGTGGATTCCATGGGATCTAC